TATCTTTATTGTTTCAGTTTAATTTATTGCATTGGAAGTTTTCTTATAAATGTGTTATTGGTGATCTTTAAATTTAATAAATTATTTGGTGTCGGCTGAAAAGAAAAGTTACAATTGTATAAATTGTTTTCCAATTACCTTTTTTTGAATTTGTTTTAGATTTAGTCGATTGCATAAGAAGTAATCAAAATTTATAAGTGAAATATATTTTACATCCTGATCTCTAGCACAGCTACAGTATAGACTTATTTAGTGTCACATGATAAATAATTGGTACAATATGCATATGGTTGATCAATATGAAAGTAATAATGTAAAGGAAATAGTTTAGTTCCACAAGAACAACACCTATGACAACATGAAAATTGATTGGCAAGGAACAGCAATGTTTTTACACTTTTACATTCTCTATGGCTATGTTCACACACACGGCGTAAGACGGATTAAAATTCCAAAGTGTTCACACAAACGGCGTTCGTTAAACTAGCGGTAATATAGGCCTATGTGGAATAGTTTTCAGTTTTAAATAATGTACGTGTTGACAGTAGTAATATTAACAGTGCATCATGAAAACTTTTAAATCTGTGAATTGTTCGAAGTGAACTTATATGATTATTGTATTTTAAATGAACAATTTTACTTTTGATTTTTCAGCTAGCATTGTTGATGTTGCATGATTTAATAGACAGTCTAAATGGTTAAAATATCTTACAAAACACAATAAATAAATCATATTCATTATAACTAAGTAAAATGCAATAGAAAAGGAACCCCTTTACCATTTCATTTATAGAGAGCACAGAAAAGAGACCAAAGTAGCTAATATATTGCAATCGTGATTGGTCAGTCTCTTGAAACGAGGTCAAATCATTCAAGCATCACTGGCGTTAGCTCAGTTGGGGTCTGCAGGTAGCGTTAATAACGCCAAGGACGTGGCGTAGTGAGTGGCTTTAACAACGCCACTACCTAGTTCACACACAAAGGCGTACGCTACGCCAGGCTTAAGCCAGCCTTACGCCGTGTGTGTGAACATAGCCTATGGATTTTAGCCTTCAAATTCCTGTAATCCTCCATGGACCTTGAAAAGCCTGGTATGTTTTTATTTCATGCTCAAAAACAAATTACAATTTGAAGATCATCAAAAATTTACACAAAAAAAAAATGACATGGCAGGCAAAATATATATATTTTTTTTAATTATTGGAAAGTAATGGCATTTACACAGAAAATTGTATTGTTTGCCACTTTGCAACACATGAATTGAGGGTTTATGCATACTGTACCTAGTCTTTTTGCATATTTGCAGAGGCTTAAGCCTGGCAATTTTCATTTAAAGATACTGATGTACAGTACTATAAAACATTTATATTTCAGTTATATAACTAGTGAAGACTTACTGGCCTTGGATATAAAATTAAACATAAAATTATATACACTCAATTTAAATAAGATTACAGGCCTACTATGTATGACTGCTCCCTAGTATTGAAAAATAAATTATGATATAATATCATATACAGTATGGTAATGTGTAAAGCTTGCTTTTCTTGATTAAGTTCAGTTCTCTCCTTTTTCCCATTGTGTATTTTGTAAGACCGCACCACTGACTGTGAGTGCCACCGATACAAAGGTGAAGAGCCACAAATAAGTAAAATAAACTATCAAACATATTTAAATGATAAAGTATAGCTAATAGTCTTCATTATTCTCTTAGATAATTCCAACAAAATTGCAAACAGGTTTGTGAGGAAGGGCAAAGTCCAATAGAGTGTGGTTTTGCTTGCATGCATGATTGCAAGTACTGCATTATTGTTTTCTCCCAGGTTTCTATTCTCACGTGCAGAGTCTGTTACATTGTAGCAGGCACAAGACTGATCACATGAGCTTGATAATGAATATGAATTGATAATATTGTAGTGATGTATTGTACACATTCACGGTAGAGTTCAATCCACTGATTAAACTATCACATTTCAAAGCATTTCAGAATACTGTAGATGGTTTCATGTCCTCTTGGATTTGTGGTGGAATTTGTTTACTCACAGCATAAAATGTTCGAGTGGCAACTAGCAGTTTCAATTTTCTTAAGAGTAATATAAGGATAACATAACTTACTAGATATTATTTGAAGTTCATTTTTAATATAAATAAAAAGTAGTAACCTTTGGAATGATTTACCAGTGATAATTCCCACTGTGTCAACAGAAACATAAAGAATACAGCAACTCTAGTTGTTTAAAAATTAAATACAAAATAAGAACAAAGCGAGACTGAGGTAAAATTTCAAATGAGGTTTTTATTATTTTTTAAATAGAAAACCAACAAATCTAACCTGTAACTTATTTGCAGTGTGACTATGTACAACCTCTAACATCTACAGTAATATACTATACAATAATAATTTTCTGTTTGAAAAGTATGTAAAAATAAGAATATTTTGAGCCTAAAATTGGCAAAAAAAAATATATAAAAATAAGAACACTGAGCTTGGGAAAAATTTTGCTGTTTTATATTGGGTACAGTAGGAAGATCTGATATTTTCTTTTCATTTAGCTAAGCTTAAGTGGTAATTTTTGCTCCTTTTGTACTTACGCTATGTTATTGCTATTATGAACCAAGGAAAAATACCAGATACAGTTGTACAAACTTGTCTTCCAATTCTTGTTTAAACAAAGGTGCTTAGTTTTTAGAATATTGTATGGATTCATCAGCAGGGCAACAGATCTCCGACAGGCGGTCAAATCACCTTCAGCTTAGCCAGCCGGCCCTGTCAGCATCAAGAAATGAAGTACCCAGAAAAGTTGAGAAATTCTGGGCTGATTTAAAACTTCCGACATATAGAACTCCAAAAAATTAAAAAAATGAAATACTGGTATTATTTTATCTACACAAAATGGAGGTTGCCATAAAGGCTAGCAAAATTCGATAACGATTTATCATGTATACGATAAAAAAATATTTTCACAAATCATATCAAATGACGTTATAATAATAGAAAAGCGATAAAATCGTAGTAAAAAGATTTTATTATTTTCTCATGATTATGCCGTCACATGATTTAATTTGTGAAAATATGTTTCATCGTACACATGAAAATTCATTATCGAATTGTGCTAGTGTGAAAACTTCTTATTTATTTTATTTTCTATATGAACAATTGTTTTTTAGCATTTTATCGTTATTGTTGCAAGTATAAACAGGCCTTAAAGGTGAAGTGGGAGGGCCAAGATAATTGAGTGAGAGGGAAGTAGCTGGCAAAATAAGGTGATTTTTATCTACTTGAAAAATTTCTTTCCTTCTCTGAACATTTTCAATTGGAGTGACTGGAGGAGGGGCGCAACTGGTGCCACCAATACAACAAGCATTTCTAAAAGATCGTATTTTGGCATTTACCTGTTGGACTCAAGTTTAAAGTCAGGCTCCGCAGGGAAAAAAATGTTTGATATGTTGTAGAAGTGATTTTTCTAAGGTGTAAAAATGGGCAGTTACGCCCCTTTTTCCCCCAGTTTTTAAATATCAAAAAATCTGTATCTCATTCACCGTTCCCCAGTTTTTCGTCAAACAACTTTTTTCTGTCTTAGAAAAATCAGTTCTACAAAATATCAAAAATTTTTTTCCTCTGGAGCCTGACTTTAAAGCATATTTAGGTCTTTTGCAGTCTTCTATTTTAGAGGTCTTGAACTTGTTAGTGTAAGGGATCCAAATTGAGAATTTTAATGCTTTACCTGTCAAGATAATGTAAACAAATTACAATCTTTATAATCTGTTTCAACTGGTACTCTTATCTGAGGTACTGTATAATTAGGATCATTGGTTTGAGTTTACAGCAATGTCAAGGCCTAATATATTTCTTCTGTCACTTATTTTAAATATCATAGGAGATGTGTTATCATGGACCATTTTGTTTCTCACAACTTATACTACTGTAGACCTCTTTTCATTGTTTTTTTTTCCTATCGATCTCATTGTAGACTTTTTATTCTTTATTTTATAATAATAATAATTCTGGATTTATATAGCGCCTCACGTTGACACAACCTCGAGGCGCTTAAATTTTAATACTGCACATTGTTTTCCTTGGTAAAGTTTCTTAATTTCTCAGACGCAGATCCAGAATTCATCCCGACTATCGCACACATGGATCTATATGTGCGGATTGGGTGGGGGAAGGGGGAGCTGCAGTGCGCGGGGTCCACCATGATGAATCCCACAAACGCTCAACTTTCTGAGGGTTACTTAATATTATATTATTATTTTACTGTATAATTATGATATTCAGGGTTCGTACGCGTCCTTAAATTCCTGGAATGTCCTGGAAAAAGGAATGAGCATTTTCCAGTATTGGAAAGTCCTGGAAATTTATGATTGTCCTTGAATAATTCTTCAATGTCCTGGAAATTGGATTATTTACCCATTTATCGTATTTCGCATGATATATATGTAAATTCCAGGTCATGATTAAAATAAACTAAAAAATGTTCGAGCGTGAGAAAAAGACTGATCTATCGCCTCTGAATTAGATTTAAGTAAAACTTAATATGCATACAACCAACAGTCTTTACTGTGATGGAAACAACTAAGTTGATTTACTAAATAAAAATATGCATAACATCTTGCAATTAAAATTAGTACCGCATGCATGTTGTATAATAAATCGTAAAATTGGCAAATTGTTCTACTTTTATAGTAATAAGAGATATTATGAGTCCTTCAAATTCGGAAAATTTGACCTGGAATGTCCTGGAATTGTCCTGGAAATTTTGTTTAAAACGTACAAACTCTGAATATTGTTGTTTTTATAATATAATAATAGGGTAGATTTGTATAGCACCGTTATCGTTTAAATGATGATGTGTGGACTAGTAGCACATTTTTATTATTATATTTTATCATTTTTATTAATTACCCTGTTTTTTCAAATTGAAAGGTAAATGATCTCAAACATTAGGCCTACAAGAATGCATTTATTAATTTTTTTATTATATTTAATTTTGTCACAGGTCAAGAACTAGCTGTGTATAGAGGTGAGAACGGGGAAGCACATGTTGTTAATGCATACTGTCCACATCTTGGTGCCAATTTAGGTGTCGGTGGTCAGGTCAAAGGCAACTGCATTGAATGTCCATTCCACGGCTGGCTCTTCAGAGGAGAGGATGGTAAATGCGTTAATATACCATATGCAAGCAAGGGTAAATATATTTATTATATATCTTGGTACTATTATTCAATAAAAATTTACAAAATAAAAAATCCATAGCATCCAAAAACTGAATTGAGGATTTAATTTAAAACTTAATATTTATAAACATACATTTACTTAAAATTATACAAAGAAGATATTGAAGCTAATAAAGCATCAAACTTCACAATAGACTAATTTAATTAATATGATTTACCAAAAAAAAAGAGGGGACACCAAACATATAAAAAACAATTACATGATCAATCATTACAGGTACAAGGACTTGCATCAAACCAACTAAAAAAACAAAAATTAGCATTAGAATTAAAAAGATAAAGCAAATTTAGGAAAAGTTTTTTAAAAAAGGAATTTTTAAAAGTAAGTGGAGGAAAACCTTTATATTGGGGTTTTTTTTATGTTTGTAGGCAGTATCAACAAGGCAATGATTTTAAGCATTTAAATATGAAATTCACAATGTTGTTGGTTGGCTCACATATGGTTGATAAATTGATGAAAAATAATATGACAATACAGAAATTAGGTACAGTAATTACTACAACAGTTCCACTTTCAGTTTTTATTGAACTTGTTGAATTAACAGCTAATTTCACAACCTCTTGGGATTTCAACTGTGGAATTTGAATCAAGTTTCTGTATACAAACAACTTTTAGGGTAGTAGTGTCTGAATTCTGGTTAATCCAGTTATTAAAATATGTTGTGGTGTTGGGCGAAACTATCTGATTACCAAACATTGTTGAGTGGTAACCAGAAAACGTGCTTCATCTTCTTTTTCTCAAGCCTCATTGAATGATGGTAATAACATTTGGTATCTGAACATGATCTTAATATGATTGTACTTATTATAAAGCCAGATTCGTCACACTAATTGCTTGGGGGTGTGTTTTTTTTGCCTGGAGTTAACAGCTGAATTTGATTTCATTACTTTTTGTTTATTTATGGACACTTATCCAGTAAAAAAAAAAGGATGTAGAGAAAAAAAAATCACATACATAATGATATTTCATAGAGATGTCATAAAATAACAATAAAGACAAAAATTACTTTCAGTTTTTATTCAACTTGTTTTAATTAACAGCTAATTTCACAACCTATTGGAATTTACAATATGAATCAGATTCCTGTTTAATTTTTCTGTGTAAAGTTTTTGGTATCTTTCCAAGAAAGTGTAATAAAAAATTGCCAGTATATGGACCCATTAATAGGTCCATGATAATAGTAACAAAATTAATTATGGCAAAAATAAAAATACTACTCTATTGTCGAAGCTATGAGTGAAAAATGTCTTTGAAACAAAATATTTATATACTGAACTAATTATTAAATAAATTGAAGTAGGTCCAAGCAATAAAACCCATTTTGAACACTTGTCATTCATTCATTCTTTATTCAGCCAATAACATAAACAAGTGGGTACAATACAATTAAAGGAAATTTAACAAATACTAGGGACAATATATAACCTAAGTTGGCTAGGATTAACTATAGTGTGAAAAACACTCATCTCTCAGGCCTGTTAGTCCGGTCTTAGGATTATTTTAACAAAGATATTTACAGACAATAATTAAATTAAACAATTTAAAAGAGAACTAGCAAAATGATTTTTTGTTCAAGAGGAGATTTTTGATATGCCATTAATAATAGAATCAACATTAAAATCGTTTTTTGGCAATTGTTTATGAAGTTATAGGCCACTATATACGATTTTACCGTGACATCACTGGCGAAAAAGTAATAAAAAAATTGTGTAAATAGCGCCGCGTAGGGTAGTTGCTGCGTACGATCTTTACGTGCATGCTGTAACCATGGTTGTTGTAACTTGCATATAGGCATATAACTGCATCAGCGGTTGTCACCAGAAGAGTTACACCTATGGTTACAGCATGCACGCAAAGATCGTACGCGGCGGATACCCTACGCGGTTTTATTTACACGATTTTTTGTTACTTTTTTCGCCAGTGACGTCCCGATTAAATCGTATATAATGACCTATAACTCCATAAGAAATTGCCAAAAAACGATTTTAAGGTTGATTATATTATAAATGGCATATCAAAATTCCCCTCTAGAACAAAAAATCATTTTGCTAGTTCTCTTTTAAATATAAGTAAAATCAATTGAAAAGCAAAGTATAACAATAAAGTCATATAAATAAAGTGATATGATAATGATGACATGAAAATAAACAATTAAAAATAAAGTAAATCAAAACTTCCATTTTAAAAAGCAAGGCAGTTTGAGAGATGTATATTATTCAGTGTTAAACTAAATTTGAGGTGACACAAATTTAATTGCCTGGATAAGCTCCAGCTAGGCTAATATATGGCTAGATTAAAAGGTGGTAGTTATAGCCCAGACAAGACAAATAAAAAAAGAACAATTTTATTATGTTGTTCTGCAGTTCCAGAATTTGCAAAAATTAAGTCTTGGCCGTCAATTGAGATGTTTGGGTTGATATTAATGTGGTACCATGCTGAAGGCGCTGAACCTTTATGGATCCCACAAGAATTTGCTAATTTTAAGAACATGCGTTACCAAGGCTATACAGAGCATGTTGTTAACGCACATATTCAGGTAAGTGTACATCCTTCTTTAAAAAAAAAAAATGTTGCTGGTCATGCCAGAAAATGGCAAATGAAGGTATGATTTATTCACAATAAACAAGGAAGCCTCTTAATGTTTAATGATATTCTTTTTTTTTTAATTTAAAAAACAATAAATTCTATGACCTGGCCTGCATTGTGTAAGATCAGACGATCACACCAAGCAGTGACATTTCGAATCAATGTCGGTTGGTCATGTTTTTTGCTAATAGCCTATTTCTAATTCTGTGTTTCAGTGCCCAACCATTACTCTCTCTATTCATTTTGTTGATAAATGGTAACCACAGGGCTAAAGTCCAGGTTAAGGTATCAAATTAATAATTTGCTTGGAAAGTTGCCTTTTGAAACATGAATCAAGTTTTTTGGACTCCTCCATAGTAAAAAAGTATATATTTGCAAAAAAGCTCCAAGTTAAAAGACTTTAATCATTAATGTATTAAATTTAATAAGAAAAGTAATAAATTGTGTCATTAATTTACTTAAGACTTGCAAGTGACTGGTCTTATTAGTTGAATAGTAGTTAGATAATAGTTGGACCCGTTACATACTGTAGCGCATAGTGTCTGCAAACTTTTAGACTGACGACCCAGTTAAAAAATTCAGACCATTGCTCAACCCACTCGCATCTTTCATGCACAAGTTGGAGAGTGGTAGGCCTATACCGTGCTTACGTTGCACGCCATGTGATACGTTTTATTTCATTGTATTTTACTATAGGCCTACTTGTTTTGCAGCTAAATTAGGTCTCATTAAATATTCTGTCATACTGTCTTTCATTGCGTGATTGTGCTTGTACAATGTATGATTAAGTATTCCAACATTGTGATTCTTTTAAGTGAAATGAACAAGTGGTTGCGGTAGTGGCGTGATCAAAGATGGCTTTTTATCACGCCCACTTTCTCATCCAATCAGAGGAGGAGTACTATATCAATCAGAAAAGCAAGGTCGATTGGTGGGCGGAGAATAATGTGAATGAACGAAATGTGATACGATCAAGCCAAGAGTGATAGCAAAACAGACCATTAAACTTGAAACAAGTTGTTAATTTTCAAAATGTTGCACTATATCAAATTGACCTTTTGATTATTTTTAAAACAATGATTATTACTAATTTACAAGAATTAAATAAAAATTAAGATAAACGTCATCTTCGAAAGAAGTATAATACATATTAATTTTTTTTATTTTTTATTATTATCTGCTTATCACCATTCCGGTATTTCTGAGTCTGGGTTTTTGGGTTGGGACTTCAGATTTATTTTAACTTAACTGCACTTAACAATAACTATAATGGTGAAACTATCCCCCGCCGGACCTCATCCTGGTATTTCCAAGTCTAGGTTTCTGGGTTGGGATTTCAAATTAGATCAGTGAATTACATTCAAACATTTGCATTTTCTAACATTGATACCGTACTTGTTTGTACTGTATCAAGACAATAGCAGATTGTTTATTGAAATTGTAAATGGGATGCTAACTAAATTGTTTAACTGCACCGATGAAATAAATATTTAGTGAGATGGGTGGGTTTGTTGTTTTGCAGTAAGTTCATCTGTCTTTCCTCATATTGGTGAGAGAGCTACTCTTAAATTGCCGCGAAGAACGTGTATCTGTAGTCTGTTCCTGTACTTGGACTTTTAGTACGCTACTGTCGAAAACCCAGCCTCGCACATATATACAGTACGTGGTTGTGAACAGCATCAAAATTTTAATTGCTTTGTTGCTTACTTCTGGGTATTCTTTATGCGCGCCAATCCGAAATTTAGTCAGGGGCTCTCTACGGAAAACTGTTTTGATGCTACCATCAGCCATGATGTCAGTCAGTTGGTCCTGGAGCTGAGCATTTACGTTGACGTCAGATATGTCGTCGACGGTGAACGGGTTGCGAATCCAGGAATTTTGCTCACACATGTCATCATCATTGGGGAAATACAGTAGTCATTGAAACGGCATCTCAAGTTTGATAATGGTTAGAAATAATCAGAGTAATGTCTGTGTCCTTGTTGCGTAGAAGGAACTCTTGCAAATTGTCAAATATGTAAAAACTCCCCATGCCTAATTCTCTTCTTCCATGCTTCAAGTTTCAGTTTTAACTCCTCAATCTTGTCCAGCATATTGAAAATCATTTTCCCTGCACCCTGGAACAATGTATTGATTTCATTCAAGAAACTGAATGTAAGAGTCGCGATGAACTTGGTGTCCTTGAACTTATCTGCAAATTCTGAGTCTTCCATCTCAAGAAATGTGTGTACATGTTCTCTTAGTTCGTATATTCGCTTTAATGACTGGCCAATCGATAACCACCTGATTGAGGCCAAATATAAGCATATCATGCTCTGCAAAGTTGACTAAACAGACACGAGTTCAGTGAATTTTTGTTCTACAAATTGATAGTTTGACACATTCATAACATCAAATGCCTTTTTAATTAAAAAGGCTTCATTGACTTGTTTGATCCCTCTACAATTTACACACTGTGGCTTGTCTCCGTTTGCTACAAACACTTATTCTAGGTATTCCTTCTTGTATTTTCTTGACATGATTTCAACAGTAGCTTAGCGATTAGAAAAGTTGACAAAATATAAAGTTATCTGAACACGCTTCACAGGGAATCCCTACAACTCACGCGAACCCATGTAAACTCAATCGCTGCTGACCAGCATTTATTCGTAAACGTGCACATCAGAACTTTGATTACGATGCGCAGAGCTAGGTAGTGTTGATGTCAAAACATCTAAGTGGAAAACTTGGTGTGAAGATATGTGCACTCAGATAAGACATTTTCATCAAGTTCAGTCATGGTCTTAGTTGTGAGGTGATTTTTCGACGAGGTGTACAGTATCACAAAATAAAGCGTATTTCGAGGTATCCTAATGCCGATATGGCCTCTCTATAAGTTTAGGGCATAGCTAAAATTTTGTGAAGTTCTTGCGACCCACCAAAACTTTTTGGCGACCCACAGTTTGCAGAACGCTGCTGTAGCGCATCATTCAAAAAATCCTCTATGCACTTGGTGATTGAACTCTTTGTGTTTGATATTGTGATGATAGTGTGAAAAAAAATAAATTAATGTAGCTGGGCTGTATATAAATAAACCTACTCCTTAAACTAAGCATGGTTGTCCATTGGCTCCGAGGAGTTCATCAGCCCATTGTTCAGTTGGTTTTTTTTCTTGCTGCTGTGTGTCCATTCACCCTCCCATTGGCAGCCGCTAAGACCACCAAATGCTTGCCAGAATCAGTTGCCGGCTGCTCAACCGAATGTAGTTATAACGTATCAAGGACACTATAATCTTTAGATGGACTTAAATATGTTTAAAAATGAAGTTTGTGAAAATGAGTTAGTAAATAAAACCTAGTACATGCTAACTCAAAGAAGATTTTAACATTTAACTAAAAATAGACTTCACAAAATAATTTAAAAACTTGATATTGATGACCATGCCATGGTGCAGGTGTTGAGCAAATTGCACATCTATAATAAATAACTTTTATTTTCGGCCAAGAAACATTTCCTGCTTATTCAATATTGAATATATATTGAATATATTTATTGTATTGCATCTGATATTGTAATTATTTGATTCTAATATTAATATTATATATGGTAATTATTTCTTCACATATTAATGTAATCTATCTATCATATGTATGTTGTGTAGGCATATGATCTGATACTACTGTACAGATTAATATTTTTGAGCACATTGTATTATTTGCCCTTTAAAATATTTTGGGTTCTTTTCTTTGTTTAATAGGAGGTTCCAGAAAATGGTGCCGATTTGAATCATCTTACTCATTTGCATACTCCTTTTTTAATGAGCGGTGCTGACTTACGATATTCATCGAAGAGGTAAGGCATTAACTATTTTGAAATTCGACTATTTTTAAAAATAATTTTTATATATTTTTATTATTATTTGTTATACATCTGATATGAGTGTTTTGTAGTATAGAGAATTAAAGCGCTTCTGAATAAGAATACAATTATTGGATTGGATTGGATTTTATTTTGTTCTATTCCTGGGAATATTTGGTAAGGAAGAAGAGTGAGTGACACCAAGGAAACCCGCTAAGTCTGAAGAAATGTTTCCAGTGAGGTCCTTCTGGTGATGGCGAATTAAGCAGACAATCTCTTAGCTTTTCTGAAACGCATGTATTACATGCACATTGGGGCATATTGCACACTGAATCAATGGCTTAAACATCTCATCGTAAAGACAATGCGATATCATAACTTGTATTTCAAAGAAGTTATTTTCTGAAATAATATATAGTTTTAAAGACTGTACTTCTTTCAAACCAACCCAGTGTTCCAGTGAGGACTGATATGATTGAGTACTTTGTGATGTAAACATGAGGTTTTGCCTGGAAGCCTTTAATGTCCATGGTGTTGTTACTGCCACACCTCAATACGACCACTTCTTTGTTGTATTTGAGTTGTCGTTAAGCATCAATTTAATGAAGCTCATATATTCGGGTCTAAGCATAACATTCATCACACTAAATACTGTAGTCTTCAAAATAATAAATTTTATATGACATGAAATATATATACATTGGCAATGGTTGTGCATATATGAGGCATGTTGTGGCAAAATGGTTAAGTTGTCGCACAGTCCAGTATTGAGTAAATGAGCTCTGGAAGTGGTTAACAAATTGTTTATTTAATGTTATTTTTCATAGTTCATTCTATTAAACAATGTATGCACTAATAACTTTGAAAGGGAATTACTCAAAATCATGTTTATCTAGACTCTAAGAGTACTGTACTTTCACTTTCCAATAACTTAGGTTTGAAATGTCCAATTTAAATGAATGACTCCTCATTTTAAAGATCACATACTCAGGTATCTGAAAATACCAATAACTTGATTTTCAATTTTTGCTACAACTTAGCCATTTTGCCACAACATGCCTCATATAATGATGCAAAAATGAAATACTATTTATAAACTTTTAAATGCACTAACGTTCAAAAGAAGGATATTTCATGTGGCAAGTTGAGTGGCTGAGCCCATGATATATCTTTACTCAAACTATTAAAGTTTAAATGTCAGTCATTCAGACATATGCAGTGAATACATGCGACATCCTACATGGGGAATTCCAAGACAGAAGTTGTAAAGGAAAATAAACAATATGAATGTATGTTGGTCGAGAAAGGAAGTAATATGTTTCTGTCAGCTAACATATTGAAGAAATACATATGAAAGTGGAAACAAAAAAAATTGTTTAATGAAAACTTGGTTCAATGTAATAATGTACAGTACCAGGAGAGGAGAAAGCAAAATAGTCACAAGTAAACTTTAATATAAAATAGTGCTGAGGAGTACACTGATAAGGACTGATATAATTGTCTCTAAAATTAATAGTAATATTCAAACTGATTTCCGATCTAAACACATATATAAATGGGACAGGAAACATGGGTTGATGACCCACCTCTGTCAATGTAAAAAATACAAATATTTTAAAGAAAGTATTCTGTTCAAAACAGTTCAAAAGTGTTCACTAAGATTTCAGTATAAAGCTCCAAGAAATGAACATCCAATTGTCTGTATCTGCAGCTTGTGAAAATGAAGTTGGAGGTACAAAAGTGAAAAAGCCTCTCTTGATATACTGTAACAAATCTGGCTTGTTTCAACTGGCATAAAGATGTATAAATCATTGAATGTACATACAGTAGTCACAGGATCACTACTAAGCTAGTCCCTGGAGAACTAGAGGGGTGAATGCCTTTAAGTGTCATGCAACAAGAGGGCACTACTGTGTTACAATCATAAAAACATTTTTTTTTCTTTTTGATAGACTTACAATGATAAACAAAAGTTAAAGATGGAAGACAATAAAGATGTATAAATCATTGAATGTACAGTACTATAGTCACAGGATCACTACTAAGTTTCTATGGGGGAACCAGATGGGTTAAGTATAAGATGTTAGCACCTTAAAACCATAAGTTTAAAAAATAAAAATACTTAATAGACAAAAGTTAAACATGAGAAGAAAAAAATATATGAAAGTGAAATCATATAAAAATTGTAAACATGATAAAATATAACGATACCTTAATAATAATATTATATCAGTCTTGTATATATAATATATGTTTGTGGAAACAGTGGAAGCAATCATCTTGATTCTACCATTCAGGTAGAACTATACAGTTCCATCAACCATGTTTCTGATAATACTGTATTGGTATCACCATGTTAAATTCCACTGAAATACTTGTCTTCACTTAGAGTCAGTATAAGGTCAAGGTAGAGAAATCCATTACTGTACTGTTTATGCAATAGTAAATTCAACCTGTGTCAGTATAATATAGTTATTTTGGTAAAATATCACACATTACATCTTTCGGTAAATTGCCATGGGCGTAGATCGGATAATCATAGAATTGTAATTAATTGAGACAAAAATCACCACTGTAATTGTGGTCCATCTAATTGTTGCCACTTGTAAATTTAACCTGCAAGTAGACACTCTGCTGTCAATTCTCCTGTAAGTTGTAAGGTAACGCCGGTTGGAGGAATGATAGGAAAAGATAGAAATGAAGAGTCTTCCAAAAGAAAGACCATGAAAAATATGATTCCATGTCCTGTCCTAGAAAAAACTAAAAATTAAACAATCTGTTTAATACTTGTACAATTATTCTTGTGGATTGCCAACACAGAAAGTGTGGATGGGTTTTACGAGTTAAAAGCAGCCAAAAAAAGTACCGTATATCGGGCAGTAAACATGCACTCCCACTGGGAGCCAATGTTTTTTTTAATGGGACCACATCTTGTTTGGAGCAGTTTCATCCTACGGAGCATGTTAACACATTTACAATAAATCAAACGAGATTGTTTGTGTGGCATATTCACTAGTCAGCATGTATTACATCAAAACGGATCAAAATATTTGTGTGTGTGTCACTAGATCATGAACGGATTAGAACCTTCTGCATGCTTTCCATTACATTCAATTATGTTTCAACAAGTTTTAATTCATATTTCTATCATATTATGTACAGTTTCTGGGATTGGATAAAGCATGGATGGGATGGTTACTGGCAGCAAGATGAAGATAATAAACACATAGGCCAATTATTTCTCAAACATCATCTTAGTTTTTTCGGTGTGGAAATTCCAATTGGTACAGTAAATGTTGTAGCTACACAGGTGAGTACATACAACATTTTCAAAAAGAAGGAGAGTAGGGGGTGGGGGAAATCATTTTAAAATCTATTTTAGGAGTTTAGTAAATCTTGAAGGGGATGTACCCCTGTGGATTGTCTACACTACACAAAGTACATATATTTTAAATGTATTTGTTGTGCATATACACAAGTATGAAAGATTCAAAATTTAAAAAAAACCATATATAATCAACATGGGTCTCTCTGGAATGTTAAATAACACAGCAACAGCTAGTAGCTAAATCAATAGAATGGAAATAATGTTATCCCAAACCATTAGTATTTATTAGAGTTAAGAGTAAGTGAGAAAGTTGCATCATAATATATTTTATTTGGTATGCAAACTGTTGTATTAGATCACACATTCTTTATATGATACTTTAAAATTATCCCATCAAATTTGATTTATATAATAATTCCTTATTTCTCCCAATTCAAATTGGAAATCACAAACTTGGCCTGGGGACCTGTGACAGTCGCAGTTCAGGGCCACCCGACTTAACTACAACTTATAATATAATATAATAGATATAGGTATAAATATAGTTTTTATCTCTCAATAAGAGGGTTATTTGAGGAACCGAGCAATCAGATTCCAAATTAAAGACGATGCTGGCCGGGATTGAACCGGGATCTACACCACAAGAAGCAGGAAAGATACCTCTCAACCAATCGTTCAGCATGCTTATAATAGCAAACCACTTCATTACACTTGTTGAAGCCCATGGAACACTAAATATCTTTGCTTTTTTGAATGGATCAAATTCTATAGGTACTGTACCTTCTGCAGACACGGAGTAAAATTGGTATTTGAACCCTGACCTCATAATTGAGAATCAAATGAATATTACACACTCAGGATTTATAATTCATTCCATTTCAGATTGGTCCAGCTATTGTACTGTTGAACTTCAAGACAATCCTTGGGACAGCCTGCATGGTACATTCCATCACACCAGTTGAACCACTTCTCCAGAAGATTACACATTCAATATATGTAGATGGGTTTATTCCAACGATTGGTGGTAAATTTCTGCTGTGGGCCGAGGCTATACAAGTACGTTTGCGGACATAGAATTGTGTAACAGAAGGCAAAAGTTTAGACTAGCCATGTCATTAAACGATGAACTTACACTAATAAAATTTGATAAAGGGCTGATCCAAGAGCGTTTGCCAGCTAAATATTACTTTTTGGTGCTATGCTGGGGGAGGGTACTTCCTCTTTGAACATATTCAAAATACTATAATAGAGTACACTAGATAACTTTCTCAGGGTTCTTGGCCATTTTATGCAAGCTAATGTTTAACTACATTTTCCTGTGCTTTACATTAGTTTTTGATGTATGGGTAAATCTAGCTCTTTTTGAAAGAAGGAATGTAAAGGGTGCAGCATGCACAATAATTGCAATCAATGGTACAAGAACTTAAGCAGAATATAAAGCCCTGTAAGCTTTAGCATTTTAGGTATTTGAGGGAGCATATTCAAATGACCTTAAATTGTAAGCATTTTTTTTTATGTTTAATAATACTCGGCAATTATCTATTACATAACATCTACAGGCTTTTTGGTTTTTTGGTTTTTTTTTCAGATTGAGCGAGATTTAATGATTTGGAATCATAAAACGTACATTCAGAAACCACTCCTGGTGAAGGAAGACAACCTGATAGCAAAGCATCGGCGCTGGTATTCACAGTTTTACTCTGAAAACAGCCCACGACTCACATTCCAAAAAGACACATTAGATTTTTAAACAACTGCCTCATGGCCTGTTAATATATTTAATATTATTATTGCCATCCTATTAAATATTTTCATTTTCATAATTATTACTGTTATAATTATCCACATGAATGCTCAGTACATTGAGATGGAGGGGAGAGATTAGAGACACAGTAGACCCTCTTTAAATTCAATACATGTCTAGAAGGAGCTTATTTTTACTCATTTGTAAAAAAATGTGAATTCTTGGATGTAAGCCAACGACCCTTGTGATATTGTAGCTGTCAAGCTTAATTGCTTGCACTAGCATATCTCTGACAAATCAAGTGTGAAATTTTTTTATATGGCAAATGACAACTATTACCAAATTCCGTGAATTCATTCCAAGTGTAATATTTTCAACTGTGGTATGGAAATAACATTGTGCCTAGTTATAGAGTTTTAATAACCTACTTTCAAAATTAGGGTTTTTTAAAAATTATTTTTAGATTGATGTTGATTTTGATTAAGTAAATGCTGATAATATTCCGCTCATTTTATGCTACAGTATGTGTATAAGTTCAATGACCGATTCTTTCTTCCTTTAAACCTAAATGCAACTGTATTTTTTTAAAAGTGTAAATATTCTGTACCTTGGTCAGGATGGTTTTAATTAAATGATTAAGAAGTGCTAAAAAATAGAATATATATTTTACAGATTAAACTATTGCTAAATATTTAGTAAAAATATGTTAGGCTTATGTAACCTATTAGGGCAAGGTATATATATGCACTTTATGCACATTATTAATTCATAAAGTTGCATCTTGTAACCTTGGCACTCAAACCCACCAGACAGGCTGTATAAATGCCTTGCCCACGGACACAGAGAACTGGCTAGCCTCAAAATTTGCAATCTTCTAATTTAGAGCTTATATTCTTACTGCACACCATGCTTGCATAAGCGTTTCATCATAGTAACTTCTATTTCAGCCCTCACACTGAAGCACAAGGAGAGGCTATGTGTGAGCTGTGCTATGACTCCGGTTTGGACATTTATGCTGTTTGGTCTTGTGTGCTATGGCCCATAAGCATGTTAAACAATGCAGTACGCTCTTCAGAAAAGAGTAGGGGATTGTCTCCGGTGTGCTGCCCAATTCATTTTCGTGGATTATTCTTGGTGTTTACACCGAATAAATCCACCCATCCATTAATTTTAAATATTTATATCATCCTAAATTATATCATGGCAATATTTACAGAAAAAAAAATTGAATCTGAATAATAATAATATACAAATAAATATATTTTGCCAATATCTGTCAAGCCAGAGCCAGGCCTGAGTGGGATGATGTTAAATTTAGCAACTGAAATAACACAATTGAAATCAGTACACAATTTTTTTAGTGGAGGTGGAGTATAAGTTATAAATTACATTATTTATGAATATATAATTAATATATTATGACACAACCCTATGCTACTGTAATATTTGAAAGATACACGTTCTGTATACATAAAAGCTCTTCCTACTATGCTATCATGATATTGCTTTTAGGTTTTACAAAAACTTTTAAATTATTATAAGAAAATTTTCAACATTTTCCAGTCTTTCTAAATTGATGTGATTATTGAGTAGCTATTTATCATTACTTCTGATGTTCATTGTAAAATAAGCATAATGTAAAAACTGGCTCTCCCAATCATTTGAAATTAGTTGTTGGCATGACGTGTGTATGTCATTCTGTATAAGATCAACCTAATTTCAGATTTTGACCCCTTTAGATTTGGCTGAAATTTATTTCTAACAATTATTTTTGAATATAATGAATGTATGGAAAATAATAAATTTACACTCCCAAGTCGAACCAGAATTTGGGTTCTTCAAGTGGAAGTGACCATAGGTGGACTGGTGACATCACTAAAAAAAAAAATCCCTTTGTAAATACAATAATTGAATCGTTGCAAATTTTTAAATTGTTTTTATACTTAATGGATCATTTGCTGTGATGTGTGTTGTGCATATCAAATTGCCGTCTTTAAGAATTATGCAAAAATGTGTATTGATTCAAGTTACGTATAGTATGAATTCAGGATAAATTAAGCAGACCGGATACCTCATCTAATAGGAAGTTCATAGCAGACCCATTGAGGGCGCCATTTAGCTAGTTTGCAAATAATTGAGAACATTATTATGGCATAAAAAAAGAAGTATGCAGAATTATTTCAGACATGTAGCCCCCACCAAAACGAAACCAGTCTATGCCCCTGCCTAGTACCACAAGACTTGTGAGGATAATAATATCAATATCTTAAAACCAGTTACTCGGGATACATACTTTTAAAATCATAATGTTATTGATAAATATCGGTGGTGCTTTAATTGAGCAAACATGTACAGTATGTAAAATGTTTCGGTAGTTGTCTCTAAAAAAATCTTCTTGAAAAATGAAGAGGGTGAATCTACCTTTATCCATTTTAAATAACAGAACGTAGAAATAGATTGTGTTCTACAATTAGTGCAGCCTTGTAATGGGTGTAGATTTGCATGTTGTTAAAAATCGGACTGTAGTCGATCAGTCTTGTACATGATGAGATAGGCCTAATCAAAATGAATTTATTGCAATAATTATAATAGAGGTTTTATAGTATTTTGAATCATTACCAAATGAATAAGCTATTGTGTAAATGCTATATATTTATATACTATTTTAAAAACAATTTATAGTTTATATTATTACTATCACAATGAATAGTTGTACTACTCATGTAAGATAACTTCAGATATTTAATATATAAATATCTGTGATTAGAAATCATGTAGCATTCATCAGTAGTCAAACCAATGAACATTTCACTAGTGTAACACCAAATTTCATATAGTTTGAGTGAATCAGACATAATAAAAAGGGGAAAGTATGTTTTGTTGTTTATGGTTGTTAATTCAGTTATCGCACATGTACCAGTAATAAAGAGAGTACTGTATATTATATTTAAGACAGTGTATAAAAAGAAAACTCAAGGTATGGAAGAAAGGAGGAATCAAAGTGCGATGTGCGAAACAGAAAGGGGAAAAAAAATAGTGTTGTGCGAGAGGGGGAGTACAGACTACCAATATATAATAAACATTATGTGGCTATATATGGCCATGTGATGTCACCGTAACCATAGTTAGGCATATCACATGTTTTTGTCAAAATACAAATTGGTAGTCTGGACCGGGCTTCAGATATATGTGAATGAATTTTAAATTCACTGATAACTGTTGAGGGGGAGCATCAAGCCCCCATCTCCTACACTCGTAACTTTTTATTTGCTTATGTGCTTTTTCACATATTTCATTGATGAAGGCCTTTTATTCTTACAATAAAAGAAATCGCATCAAATTTAGCAAACACCACTTAACACCTGGGCCTATTCCTCACACAGATAGTCCAGAATGATACTGTACACCGCATTAGAATAATCCAGAGTATTTTATTATTGTATGCACATGATTCATTATGTCACTGTTATGGTAGGCCTACTCTTACTGCATGTCAACTAGGCTAGGTCTATACTAAATTAGTAGTGGCTTTTGTAGGCCTGCTGCAGTCCATTTTGTAGAGATCGCTATTCATCAGAATTGTACTTTTGTACAACATCAAGTTTTATGTGATAGATTTGTGTGAAATACCCATATATGGGCATGATGATATATCTGATTAATATCATCATACACATATATGTGTAAAGTACAGTTATTATATAGTCACATGAATTCTGACAGTGTGGACAGACACTAATATCTCTAATCAAATCCATAAGGATTTTATTCAGTTTGATGTACTGTACAATATAGTTTCTTTCAGGTGTGAAAAAAGGGGTATTTGTTAAATGGAGCCCAATTTATTGGTTGTTTTTTAGTACAGACAACCAAATATTAAATGCTTGTCCATCGACTTTTACTGTTTTGCAAATAAAAGGCCGGAGACTGGCACAGCCTCCTGCCTGCCACACACCACTCACGCCATATATAGTGGCACAGAGAGTTGAAATAAATCCACCTGTTGACGGTTGAGCAACGTCCCAGGCTGCAAAGGTAAATGCACTACCATCTAGCCATACATTCCATGTGTTTGTGTCACGGTAGGTCATTCCGATCCAGTAAAACTTAGGGTCTAAACGGTCGGTCAGGAACATATTTTCTTCCCTTGAAGTAATGGATGCTAACTGTCCGCCGGCCTGTAATTGGTATCAAACAGAAATGTGAAAATTATCCATTAATTTATAATGCATTCTTGTCAGAGACAATAACTTTTTCCCTTGGCAGTGGCATATCTGTGGTGTGGGGGGTGGAGAGGAATTCAGGGCACACACCCCCAAAAGAGACTTGTGTCCTTGTCCATCATTTACTAGAATTTCAGACTAAAAATTAGTTCATGTAGTTAAAAAACCCTCATTTTTCACCCTCACTTTAATCACAGGCTTAATCATCTATCTCTCGCTTAACCCCTTCGCTCTATCAACAACCCCCCACCCCCTCTATCACCAACCCCAATGTCAATACTTCTAGACACGCCTGTTTCTTGGATGCACCAAAGTGATTTTATCTCGATGGAATCAAATTTAACATTCAATTCATTAACAAAAAAAATGCTATTTGCACCAGCCCGGAAACCATATCATCATGACCCATGGATTAAAATAAGCAATCTACTTCAGTGTGTGACGCATCCAGAACAAGCTAAGAAGCTAATCCCAGGTGGCGTCAGCGGGGGGTCGGGGGATAGGGCCCTCTGTCGAGAGTTTCCCCATCAGTGGGAGGTACAAAACTGAACAATGCAGTTGCACTCATCATAAACAAAACTTCGAATATAGACATTGGCCTACCGCATAGTTTTTTTTTTTGTTTTTTTTAGTGGGTCATGCCAGAGGTGGCGCCAGCAACCCCCATGTAAACACTACAGATGAAACACAACAAGGGTGTAGGTTATACATATTTTTCAGCTAGGGGCGTATACTGCAATTGATGTCAATCTATGAGGACCATGAAAGTTTCTCTGATATGAATAAATAACTTCGACCACCTGAGCGTAGATTGAGCAAAAATAAACTAGTATCCAACCTCAGTGTCCTGAACTCACCGCCTCGCAGTATGCCTTTGCATTATCCCATGTGGCTTCTCTAGTGGTGGTAATTTCGTAACAGAACCCTTGGAAAGACACATTACATGCAGACGATGTTTTTAAAATAGCTGTAAGCATAACAGCACTCAAAAATTGCCGGACAGTAACCATTTCGTCTGTGCCGTGCTAAGCCGACAGCAACAGTACAACTTTGGCCGGGGCACTGGGCAGGTGGCTACCGTGTCCTGTATTTGCATAATGCAGTCGCGCATGCTCTTTGGCCAATGTAGAGTACTCAGTAGAGAATTCAAACTTTTTTGTCAATAGGGTCACCGGGCATTGATGTGAAGAAAAATGATGGACAGTATTTTCATACTGTCGTACTTGTTTATGTCAATCCAACATGGTATTATTATATTTAAAGAAATTATTGCAACTCTTCAAAAATCAACACCAAGCAAAATATGTACATAATTATGTTTTCCATGAAAATGCAAATCAAAAGCAAAAATGTAGACCTAGGTTATAATTAAATAATCAACGCATCGTGAATTTCTTGAAATCCAATGGCACTGTCAGTAGGCCTAAAAGCATATTTGACCACACACGTGATATATCACCGGCTAGGCCTAGTTTTAATTTTCAATGCGTGAGAAAGATTTCGCCAAAGACCTATTTTTCCTTGAATTGGCTTGAGCTCTGCGATGTTCGGGTATTATATCCCTTAGAACACGTCGCAACGCAAATGCCTCTTTTTGTTCATATGTCAACACGTTTTCAATTGCTTTCATGTCGCGATAAAATTCCTGTCTGAGTGCTTCGATTGATTGCTCCTTCTCGTCGTCCGTCATTTCGGACTGGTGAATTTTCTGAAGCTTCTGGGCAATGCTCTGTTGAGTTTCGTGCACCTTCGGAATTTCCCTATGATTTTGATTATACTTCCGTTCAAGGTGATGATGAATCATGGCGATGCGACGCTCCTTCTCCTGTTCACTCAGATCTGAATCTTTTATTTGTTTAATGTGTTGTTCCACCTGACTTTGTAAGTTTTGAACTGCCTCAGTTGCCACATCTGCAACATCTTCCTACAGATTCAATGTAAATAATATTATATGTGTTATATTTTATTTACAAGAATAAGTAGATTGAACGACCACTACCTGTTTGAAGTTTAATCTTTATTTTAGTGGTAGGAGCTCAATACCTTTACACTAATTAATTTTTGTTTAAAACGAGATCCCCTCTAATTCAGTGGTGGTTCCGACAGGATATTCCCGTCGGGGATGGGGAAAGTATATGAGTACTCGTGAAAAGGGTGAGAATTAGAAACCTCTTAGGTTCTCTCGAGTTCCAATTTCATCACTTATTTTAACATGCATTACCCATTTATGAAATGAATAAAGATTGAAAAAATTGTAAGATGCTATAAACTAAAAGTCTCAGGCTTAGTAGGCCCACTGTCCAGGCAATGCCGTAGCCAGATTTTCAAACAGTGTGGGACAATTCTTTACGCGTAAATTCAAATAATGTTGACCCATTTTCTTAAAAGTTGACCAATTTTATTTAAAAATATGAATATCTGGACCCATTAGTAAGATTTTACTTAATTTAGGCTAAAATATGAGAAATATGGACCCATTTTTCAAAAAGTGGACTCGTAATGCATAAAATTGCATAATTTGGACCCATTTTTAAAAATGTGGACACATTAGAAATATTGTGTGGGACTGCTGTCCCAATAGCTGGCTACGGCATTGCCCACGGAGTGGAGATGATTGTATATGGTCGTGGGGAAAAAAGCCTGTGTTTTCGCAGGATTTAAGCCGAAGACAGTAGGATTGGAAGGCATGCAAAAGCATCTTAACCACAAAGATACTGCATGCTATCCAGGCTTAAACGTACATTATTTTTAAATTGTAGTGAATAAATAACGAAATAAAGCTAAAGTGAGTTTGAGCCTTCCAATTTTCAGTAGAAACAGCAACATTTGGTGCGTGCGTTTTGGTACCAGACCTAATAACCACTTCCATATGTTAAAATAAGAAAACTTTTAAACACAAAAATAAGATTCTGCATTCCATGTATTAACAGGTACCTACTATTTCGATTAATAAAAGACTTCAGGGAAAATAATGCTTTACGACAGCTTGCAGACAGTATTAGATTCCATGGCTTTATTCCAAAATGCTCATGAAGCTGGCATCGACTCGCCAACATCTCAAAAGCTCGAGCTGAATAAATCTTAAAAGTTAATTTTTTGAGTGCGCACCTCTTTATTTGCAGTGATGCAGTGATGTACTATTATCGATTATCGATACAACAATATACTGTAGAATTAGACGACGCATAGATATCAGTACAAACGATAAATGTTCCTAGGGACATTTTTATGCTTTTTATTTGTCTCTACATGCATATTCTAAAGCTGGGCATACCGTAATACACTACGTTCTAACAGTTTTCCTTATTGTGTTCTCTAACATCAAATTGCTCAATACATTTTTTTTTGTTTCATGTGCTGGGGGTGACAGCTCCGGAAATGTCACTTCTCTAAAATTTTGAGTATTGTTTGTTTTTTTTTTACCAAAAAATAAAATTCAATGTTTTAATTTATGCTTTACAGATTTTCTCACTGAATTTTTCGAATACCGGTACTGTTTATCTTTAATTAATATAGAAATGTTTTTTTTAAATACCGAAAAAGGATCATATCATACCCGACATAATAAAGGAAAGGTGTACATCGGTTGTTTATTTGCGTCAAAGAAAATTGAGCGCTGTCGATGTTGAACTTGTAATTCATTCTACGTGAGATGCTGAAAACAATTTACCATTTACTACTTACCATTGAGTTTCCTTGTACAGAAAACATAACTGTAAACATCAGGAATATACATCCAACGTGAAGATACATATTTTTTATATCCGATACCCTTACACACCGGTATTAACACTGGGGAAATAAAGTATTATTGGTCTCACATACTTAAGCGACTATCAGGAATCGATGATTACAAAAATATTAAATTCGATTGCGACGTTCGTTCCTATAGAAACATAATATGAACGTACATTGCGGTGGAAAATCGATTTCAGTAAATTATTCACAAGTTAACAGAACGTGTGTTCAGCATCAACACGGAAACAAAAACCTACAGATGTGTACCTGCCAGAAACATTTTTTGATGTTTTAAATCTTCTAAAATGTGCAGCCTACTCAAGATAAGCAAATACTGGCACACATTAATTGAAAAGCATTCAGAATGAAATCAACATGCAACGTCGGCAGTGGAGGTGTTGGTGGTTAAGATGCTTTCCATCCAATCCTGGGTCCAAATCCTTTGACTGCATAGGATTTTTTTTTTCTCATAACTAAAAAAAAAAACATCTCGATTTCATAAGCCTCGTATTATGAGACTTCGCTGATAAAAGCATCAAGTTATTTTCATTTATTTAGAAGGGCCCTTGAATATCATCAGCCCACCTTCTAGGATACGTTGGAAGATGTCTATCCACCCTCTAGGCCTATAATATGGTTTAAAAAAAATAACGGTCCCAACTTTTATTACTATCATTATATTATTATTCTTCCAGTTATAAAGTTTGTTAATAGTCCGAGACTTAATGTTTACTTACACCTGTCTCTTAT